ACAGCATACTTTGATTCTTGCTTCGTATTCGAGTTTTTCTTTCTCCAAGGCTTTGTGCTTTTCTTCCAACTTTGTATAAAACTAACAACCACAAAACAGTAAAGAGGTCACGAAGAAAGAAAAATAAACAGGGAAAAGCATAAAAAATTAACTGTTAACTTGCATGAAGAATTAATTACCTCTTTACGCCTCTCCAATCGGTCAACGCAAGTGAACTTTGGAGCAACCGGGACCGTAATTTTGGTCCGTACAGAAGTTGCAGTACTACGAATGCTAAGGACCAATTATAATACTAATAATAACAATATTAATAAGAGGAAAATGAAGTTAGATATAGGATACGAGGAAGCCAATGACCAATTATCTTCTTCGTCATAAAGCTGCTTCCTTGACATGAAATGTGAGTTTGACTGGAAAAAATGACACCCAACATTAGTACTAAAACAAAATTCAAACAAAAAGCAAAAAAAACTTCTTTATACATTCGTGACTTTGAAGTTATACCCAAACCTCACCTCAGCCATTACACACTCTCATTAGTTAGGTATCACAAGTGATTTATCATCCATCAATAAGCCAATTGTGTTTTGAAAAAAAAAAAATCATTTCGAGTAGAACCAGCTCATGATATGCTCATTGAGGAATACCACTTTCTGAAGAGCTAAATTCTGTCAATTTCTTATCAATTTAAGCGGGCCAGAGGTACCAACATGATTGGTTGAGAAAAATATTAACATTTTACAGCACATGACAAACCATCACAGCTTAATAGATATTTTGAATAGTTCAAAGTGTAAGGGATGACTATAGAAAACCCCCACAAGGTTTGGACCAAGAACCGCAAAAAATGATCATCTATACACATCACATCAACTTTAATTCACTATTCATCCATTCACATAATTTTAACTACCTATTTTTTCCAATCATTTATCTCCTACTTTTACATCAAATCAATTTTAATTATTTTATTTCAATATTATTGTAATGCATTCTTAAAATACCACTAACAACTAACCGTACTAACTTTTTTCAAATAAACTCTAGTTAACACAAAAAACCAGAAAAAAAACCAGTTTTTTTTTCTAGTTATTTTATAAACAAGCACGCCCTAAGTGATTTAAAAATTACACGCTCGCCCCTGAAGTCACATGGCAGCTAGCCATATCCCCCTTGCATAAGCTAAAACCGTCTATAAAAACCACGTATGTGTATAATGTATATGAGCATTACGATTACTCCCTAAATTGAAGACAAATCCAAAATGCAATGGGGTTTTCATGTTTTCGATAATTAGCCAAAAGCTCATTAGGGTTTTTTGTAATCATTCCTCAAGAAAAGGTAGGATATATCAATTATCAAAACATCCGAGCAAACCCACGAGTCGGTCGAATTTGATAACAAATATAAAGCATGAAAACTCAGAGAACAAGAGAACAACATATACAAAAGGGATAATAACTCAACATAAGAAGAAGAGAAACACTCACTTGGGATTTCTTTCCGGACTTGGGAGAATCCAAATCGCTAGATTTGGACAAAACTTTGACACTTGAATCATCGTCTTTGGGCCCATTAGCATGATCCGCATGAATTGCCTCAGAATCAATGATCTTCTCCCCGGGCCCACCGTTGGTGCTTTTCACTGCCAGCTCATCCTGTGCCACGACAGCTCCATCGGCAAGTCCAGCATTCCCGGTTTTCTCAGGTGAGGCTTTGGGAGCAACACGAATTACAGAACGAGTGCTATCACTTGATTTTTCGCTTGCTCTTTTGTCAATTCGTAAGCCTGTAACATCCCTCCCCATTTTTTTTTTCCTGCATGATAATAAATAAAGCCAAAGGGCATCACGAAAAAATATCGGAATTCTTTTTGTTCGGACTGATAATCCAATAATTGCTTCGGACTAGACATGAGCTGTCCACAATACCACCAAAAATAAAAAATAAAAAATAAAAAAATAAAAAAATTATGCTGTGGAGAGAAGACATTAATCGTCTTTACTCTGAAATTGCATATAACCATATTAAAGCAGAACCTTTTATCACAAATTTATCCATTAAGGTAGACTATGTCAAGGAGATCATATTCGGAATTTAAAGAAAAAGGAGTAATGCTTAGCCTGTTAGTCATACCTAACCAAAAATAGCTTCACGTTTCAAAATATAGCCAAATCAAAACATTTTATAACAACATTCTTCGTTTTAAGTAAGTATCCAACATGTCGTATTCGAACTTAAAGAAAAGGCGAGAAGTGCTTAGCCAAGCCAAACATATCTTCAGGTTAGAAAAGATAGCCAACTACTAACCATAATGTGAGTAAGTAATTTCCTACACTAACCCAAAAAAATGATTCAGAAAAGGCCTAAAAAGAGACATCCAAGTTAGGTAAATTAATTAAATGAGTAGATGTATCATTCATATGAATGTGGCCCCAATCTCCAATATAAAGTCATAAAATAATTTTAAAGTTAGAACAAGTAATATTATGGCACAAGCAAAAGTAGCTGATAATTGGAAAGTAATACGCCTGCAAATAGAATCTGAGCACTGAAAAAAATAAAAGTTTGAGCATTCAGAAAAAGAGTAACATTTTAGATTAGCCTTTTGGATTGAACGATATAAGAATATAAAAAACGAACTTCTTCTTGCTTACGTAGTTACCAAAAGCACTTCTCCAAATTACTCGTATCTCGAAAGTGTAAAACTTTACTTAAATGAAGCACAAGTTAACAATCTAAAAAATCCAGATGTGATAATAATATGCTGATAGTCGCTTCTCTTTTCAAATTAAAGGTTTGCAAACCCACCCTTCAATATAAACTAGAAAATTTCAAAATCGGCAGCTCAAACCTTTTTTTTCTTAAAAAATAAATCTATAGGAAAAGGAAAATGTCAGACAGCTTGAAGTGAAATAGACCAATTAAGAATGTTTGAGAATTGTTCATAAAACATCGTCAATAGCATTTGATTCATAGCAAAGTTCGAACCGATTACCTAAAATTTCCTTTGAACACTTTCAGCACAACTGCGAAGGGCTGTAACGAAAAAACAAGCTGATGAAAGAGCAGTTGACCAAAAACAAATCCTAACACACATGAAAGGAATTCAAGAGCAAGAATTACAAGGAAACCCCTAAAAGATCTAATCTTTGAAACCCATCAAATACATGAATTGGCAAGTCTTCATCTATCACCCATGGAATCCCCCCTTTCCAGCACAACCTCATGATACAAATAGCCAGAGAAAAAAAAAAGAACAGAATTTAAAACAAACAAGAAATGAACGGAAAGGAAGCAGCTTTAACAGCAGAGAGCCGACATCACATGGAAATAACACGAAGATCGAACCAAACAACACAATGCAAATGCATGAAATTGCTTGCAAAATTGAAAACAGGGCGGATTCAAAAGACCCAGAAAGAGTAAAAGTGAAACAGGAAAAATGATTTCTTACAAATGGGTTTTCTTTTTCTTTTTCCCTTTCCTCCTTTCTGTTTCCCGATCTGAGTGATGTGATTTCCTAAAGAAGAAAATAAAACCAGGCACCACACCTCCACCGTCTCCACCACCAACAAAACAAACGTGAGCCCGACTTTCTCTCTCTAACCACCGGATGTTTTGCGTTCTTTACTATGTTTCTCTTACATCATTTTCCTTTTTGCCATTTTTTCCCCCTTTCGCTCTCTTTGGGCCTCTGGTTAGTCTCGAATCTCGAATCCGCTTATGACGGGCTGTTGCTCTTTTATTGCCTTTTGCGTTTGGATTTTTTACCTTTTTTTATTTTTAGGTGTGGATTTATTTTTTATTTGGAGGTAAATCTATACTTATATAAAAAGCCATCTTATTTACTAGAAATAGTAGGTAGAAAAGTCAAAGATAATTAATGCTTGCTGAAAATAGAATGACATTAATTACAAATTTGTTTTGGTATTTATAGGTTTGGCATTAAAGATTTGTTATAGGATAAAACTCAGAACCGATTTTTTTACCTTTGCTAGAAAAGTCAAAAGTAAGTATAGATTTGTTTATATTATCAAATCATTCATATAATTTTATAACAATTCTACTACACTATTTAACAGTATTCTTTTTTATTATATAATAAAATAATAATTAAATATTATATGGTGAACAACAATAAGTAAAATTGTTACTTTCTCTTATATCAAGGGATAAATTTATATGCTAAAATTAAATTTTTATTAGTATAAATATTTTAGTGACATAATATATTAATTATTTTACAAGCCAACTCTAACATGTTCATATTTAATGTTCTGGCTAAAAAAAACACTGGTTAAAAAATGTGGAAAAAAACTTATAATAACCCTATTATTTTTTAGACTTAACGTTGATTAAAAGATGTAGAAAATAGATAATAACCCTATTATTTTTTAGACTTAAACGGACAAGGCTGTAAAAATAACTCATTTAAAAATAACTCATTTAATATCTCTGTCTCGTGCATCGCACGGGGTACGTACTAGTAAATAGTAGTACAATTATAACTTTTTATTGGTGATGAAAAAAATCCATTCTTTATTGTAGGTGAAACAAAAAATCCATATACAATGTAGCCTTTCTACATAATATACTTAGGCACTGTTTGGTTAGAGGTTGATATCCATGTGTTTAGTATTGTATCCATACGTTTATTTTGTTTGGTTCACAACGTTTAAGCCCCTTGAAATAGCCATGGCCCGGTCTTTTATCACTCAAGTTTTTTATACCACATCCCACCTTTTTTGTGGGATAACATATCACGATTTTTCTTATTACTGTTGAAGTACATAAATGTCCCTAAAATAAATCTCCTAAAATTCAATCTACAGTACTGTTTATTTTCAACCATATAATTCTGAAATCTTAATCAATTCACTCAACGATTGCGAAGGAAAGATAATGAAAGTTTTCGAGTAATTAAAAAATTTGCAAGATATTGAGGGATCTGTTTTATCTCTTCAATTAGCATTTTCAGGTCCAATAAACATTGGTTAACTTTTTTTTCTTTCTTTTTTTTAATTTATGATTAATTCAATAGCGATTCAGAGCGACATGAATGCCTGCATCACGGTAGAACTGACCACATATGTAAGTAATGGGTATGTTCTTTTGTTTATGAAAACTTGGAACACGATAAAATTTTACTTCATCTTTTTTTTTTCTTTGTTCTTAATAGCATGAAACACGGGAAGAATTGGCCTGGCAAAAATTTCCTTTGCGCATATTAATGATTTAATCTTCACTAATTTAGATTTATCTATTGTTTTCTCCTTGATTTTTTACAGAACCCCAATTTGCTGGGTATGGTATTTGAAAATTAAGTAAATGTGTGAGGACATTTTTGTAAATTCAGTATATTTTGGAACAGAACTTAATAAAAATATATTTAATTTTTATGTTTAAAGGTTTGATATCCTATGTTGTTTTTATGAACCAAACAATGTTATGCGGCTTATTTTATCCTTCTAAATGTACTTGATTGATTTTTAGGAATTAATCAAATGCTTTCCTAAAATCCTACCAAACGCACCCTTAATATTATATATAGTTTGTCCAAAACAAGTAAGGATTTGATATTGAGCTTAAAATGTGGTGATCACTAAAAATCATGCAATAAGTCTGTGATTAATTCATGCTTAGACAATCATATTTCTAATATATTTATATTTTTTTATTTTAAATATTATACGTTAAAAACGGTATAAATAAAAGTATGTACTTTTACTAAAAATATATCATTAATGCATCACCACTGGAGAGTCTAACAATAAAAAAATATGATACCTTTGTTATTTTAAAGAGTATTACTTTATTAAGTGGCAACTCTCCCCTCAAGTAAGATTAAAACAATGAATGGTATTGATATTGTCATAGAGATAATTAATTTATCATTGATTAAAACGAGTGTTTGTGTGATGGCACTAATTGAAAATCATGAAGTACTATTTAATGCATATTTCAGTGTAATTTCAATAGTAGATTCTTTTTGCTCTTAATGCTTGTAAATCTATATATTGTCGTTTCTACTTATTTTAATAGTTAAATAAGTTACTTATTGTTAATTACATAAGTTATTTATTGTTATCATGTTTCACGGGGTCATGCAGTGTGGAGCCAAAAAGAGCCATGATAGTGTCAAAATTTTGAATGACCAATAATGTAAAAAACATAAACAAAATGGTCAAAAAGTAAGAAAATTGAAATTTTGAATTGGACTGATAAAAGTCCTCCACTCACCAACTTTTCACACGTTAATGGGCCTGTTCGAATTAATTATAATTATTATTAACTCAGTTGGTGGATTTTGGACTTTATTTTTTCGGTTCGAATAAATATAACTCGCCCCAACAAACTATCAAATATCATTATAGAGCCCCTTTTTATTACTTGATTGAACTAATCACCGAATTCACATCGACGAATAAAGCTACAAACTTCATCAAATACATCAATTAGATGATGACGTGATAAAAAGATTAACATTTTTTTTTTTTATAATTCAATAGTCTTACTTAGGAGTTAGGGCTGTTAAATGAAACGAACCGTTTGGTCGCTCAGCTCTACTCGACTTAACTCAACTGTTTGATAAAAAAAGTTGAGCACCTTTAAAGTTTTATTTAATTGTGGCTTAAAAATATTTTTGTATTTCAATAGTTTGTCTCGTTATGACTTGAGTCGACTTGTTAATATTGATAAATGAGCGAGTTCGAGCTCGATTACTGACTCATTTAGTTAAGTGCTCCGCTCGTTTACATTCCTAGTCACTCTTTCTTAGCCACGATAGGTGAGTGTAAATACGTATATGGACTGATATGACAGAAGATTAACACACCATACAGTGCGTGAGAGATTTTAAAATAATGATACTTGTCTTATGGGCATAATTTAATGTGCTGAGGATAAGCCTGTTGACGAGATTAACATGTTCTACGACTGTAGATATGTTTCTTCATGTGAGGCGGCTTGGAGATTGTTGGGTTATGAGCTCCAGTACAAAAAACCTCCTGTACAGCGTTTGAGTTTCCATTTGAAAGGCGAACAGTACGTTATTTTTGAGGATGAAGATCGGATTGATGAGGTTATTTAAAAACCCACTGTAAATGAGAGTCAATTTTTGGCATAGATGGAAGCGAACAAGAAGTATCCTGAGGCGAGGGAGCTCACTTATGTTGAGGCACCAAGAAAATTTGTTTGGAACCCGACGTTGAGAGAGTGGACCCCTCGAATCAGAGATGGCGCTATAGCCCGCCTGCGCTATGTTCTTCCTAACGCGGGCGATAATTTCTATTTGAGGTGCATGCTTAATGTAACCCGTGGAGCAACTTGCCACGAGGATTATATGAAGGTAGCCAACGTTCAATATTTGTCGTATCGTGATGCTTGCCACGCTCTAGGTTGTTGGGTGACGATCGTGAGTACGTTGATGGCATATCTGAGGCAAGTCAATGGGCATCTGCTGATTCCCTCAGACGCATGTTTGCAACGTTGTTGGTTTCTGGATCGTTAGGTAGACCCGAGCACGTATGGGAACAGTGTTTGGATTTTCTCTCTGATGACATCGTTTATAGACAACGTCTTCTCTTCAATAATGAAAGTATGTGACTTATTTTTTATTTATGTTTTATTGTTTATTTTATTATTTTTCATTTGCTTTTTAAGTACTATAGTCGATTTTTTATAAAATTCTGACTTTGAATTTTTTTTCCTTCTTAGGTTTGCAGCTGAGTGATGCAGATATAAAAAATTTAGCTCTCGCTGAAATTGAACATTTGTTGAGACGTCGCGGCACGAGTCTTCGGGAATATCCAACAATGCCTTTTCCTGATATGACCGGTGTTACTACGAATACAAATCGATTGATTTTGGATGAGCTAAATTATGACCGCAAGGCCTTATC